CATATTAGGTAAACACTTAAAATGTTACCAATGATAACATAACTGATTAATTATTATTTTGTTATTTTAAAATAACTTGTACGTTTATTATAATGTAATAACATTATTTTGTTATTACTTAACTTGTACGTTATAAAAAAAAGCTACGTTATAAAAAAAAAGCTACGTTAATTGATTATAATATTTTTTATATTCATTTATTAACGAAAAAAATAATTGCATCTTGTAATTAAGTTTACAATGTAATATAATAAGAATATTATTTGAAAATAAATTATTTATGAATTGTAAAAAATATTTATTATCTAATTATTACATACATATTAAATTAATTTGTAAAGGACTTGCAAATATTATTTATTTATTATAAGGATTCTTTTGTTTTTAATGACGTAAAAACTCATTAATACTTTTTATAACGTATAAGTTAAGTAATAACCGCTTATATAACATTATTTTGTTAATTACTTAATTTGTTATTACAAAATATTAGGTAAATACTTAAAATGTTACCAAGGATAACAATAAAATAATATTATTTATTAACAAAATAATAATATTATTTTTAAAATAAACATTACAAATTTATCTATTACATTATAATTATCGGTTTCGATGTTTTTGGGATTGATACAATTTTAAATGTATTGACACTTTATGTGTGCACCTCGTTGCATTCATTCTGGAAAAAAATATCAACACAAACTTAAAATGTGTCGATACATTATGTAGAGCTATTTTCTCATAAAACCGGTATATTTATACTGAGTACATTGTAAATTTACATATTACATTGTAATTATCGGTTTCGATGTTTTTGGGATCGATACTTTTAATAAATGTATCGACACTTTATGTGTGCAACTTGTTGCATTCATTCTGGAAAAAAGTATCGACACAAACTTAAAATGTGTCGATACATTATGTAGACCTATTTTCTCATAAAACGGTATATTTATACCGAGTACATTGTAAATTTACCTATTACATTATAATTATCGGTTTCGATGTTTTTGGGATCGATACTTTTAATAAATGTATCGACACTTTATGTGTATCCCGTTTGGCATTCATTCTAGACAAAATATATCGACACTTTTTAAATTTTTGTCGATACATTATGTTGACCTATTTTCTCATAAAATCGGTATATTTATACCGGTTATATTGTAAATTTACATATTACATTATAATTATCGGTTTCGATGTAACATATGTGTCGATACTTTTTGAAAATGTATCGACACATATGTTTCACTATTATCTCATTATAATATAATTAATGATATATTATTCTTATTATAATAAATAAATATAATTTATAATAATTTATTTTAATAAAATATAATCATAATTTTTTATTTATAAAATTATAGATATAATATTTTAATAGTAATATTGACTAAATAATATTAAATAAATTATTCTAATATTTTAAAATAATATTATTATTTTGTTAATAAATAATATTATTTTATTGTATTTGATATTTATAATAAAGAATTTTTTAAAAAATTGTATAATTTGTTTTTACTAATTTTATCATTACAAAAGTTTATTTTTACCGGTTTTGTTATTGTTGGGTTAATAAAACCGGTAAAAATTACCTAAAATATTATTATTTCTACCTAAAACATCAATGTTTTTTAATATTTCTGGTAAAATTCCCAACAATAACAAAACCGGTAAAAAAATAACAAAATCAGTAGCACTTTACCTGTTTTGTTAAAATAATGATATTTTCGGTAATTTTTACCGATTTTGTTATGCACAACAATAACAAAATCGGTATATTTTTACCCGGTAAAATGCCAAATGTTAACAAAACCGGTAGAAATAATGATGTTTTCGGTAATTTTTATCGGTTTTGTTATGCACAATAATAACAAAATCGGTACCGCTTTTTTTAGCCAATAACAAAACCGGTACTATATTTTTTTAATCGTATATTAAGCGCCTCACGTGAGCATTCCCCATTTTTCAGCTAACTTTCTAACAAAAGCATAATATTGTTACGTACATAGAATTTAATCCTTAATTGAGTGGCTTAAAACATAAATTAACCACATTCAATTAAAAGAAATATTATTATCACTCATCCAGAGCATCCTGCATGAAGGGATAAGCTCTAGCTTGTTGAAATCATAATCATGAGATTCCAGGCAAGGGGAAGTTTTACCATGCAACAGTTTTAATATATAATTAATAAAATGTGTTACAGAAAATATTATTATTTTTTTAATATTTTTAATAAAAAATTATCTAAAAAATTATTATTTTTATTAGAAATATTATTATTGGACGTTTTACCGAATTTGATAATATATTTGTTAAAATATTATCTAAAATATTTTTTTTACCGGATATATTATCAAACCCAGTAAATAACCCAATAATAACATTTTCGATAAAAATAATAATATTTTAGATAATTTTTACTAAAAATATTAAAAAATAATAATATTTCTAATAATATATTTTCTTAACCGTATATTAGAATGTCGTAAGTAATATTTTTCTAATCCAGGTGACGGCTCAACAACGACGTCCTTCAAAATGTCAGCATCATGTGCAGTGCAACGACAAATTTAGCCCATGGATTTCCCATTTATATATTAGACGGCATCATCGCAATGCTATTTTTTTAGGGTAAATTATTACAACTAACCATCTAACTATAGTCATTTTTCATTGCAACCATCATTTTTTAATTCTTATCAATTAGATAACCTAACTATTTAAATATATTTAATCAAGCCACTAGCCATTAACAGTTAATGGAAGTGTTGAAGTAGCATTTAATAAATTTGATATAATTTACATTTAGTCATTATTACTTATACATTCTATTAAATTAGTAATAATTTTAAATCAATTAAATAAATTTAATCTTCTAATTATATGAAGACACATGTCACGGCATTATTAGAGATTTTTTAAAAATTTAATTTAAATATTTTTCCTCTAATCAAATGGTGACATGTGGTGTCGTTTGATAGAAGAAAAATAAATTGATTTAAACTATTTTGCTGATGTGGTTTGATCAATCCAAATTCTCGAAGGAATTAAGCATCCCTCAACCACAGCGCCAACCACTATGTTCGATAACTGTTCCACAACATTAGTTATTTAACTTATATTATAAGGAATACCAAAAAAAAAGGGAAAACAAAAGTATCCGTAAAAAAATCGAACCTTACCATATTACGAAATATAAAAAAAATTACCCTTATAATTCAAAATAAATATTATTAACTAATTAAAAATATTAAATTTAATTTAATATAAAATTATTAAATTTATTTTTATTTTAGATCTTATTTTAACTACATTTTTAAATATATATAATATGTATTTAATTAATTATTAATAAGTTTACTTTTTACTTTTTAATTATTTTATATCTTATTAAAAATATTAAATTTAATTTAATATAAACATATTAAATTTACTTTTATTTTAGATCTTATTTTAACTACATTTTTTAATATATATAATATGTATTTAATTAATTATTAATTATTTTTAAATATATAAAAACATATTAAATTTATTTTTAACTAATTGTTAGCATGTATTTAATTATTAATTAATAATTTTACTTTTTATTAAAAAATAAAGTATACAAATCATTTATATTTTAATTATTTTTATTGGATTATACAGTTAAAATATGTAATTAGAAGTCGATTTTAATCTTATAAAAATATTAAATTTATTTTTTTAATATTTTATGAACTAATGTTTAACGACTCAAACCTTGGCCTATTACGAAATATAAAAAAACTTAGCCAACCAAAACAAATGTAATTATTATTTAATAATTAAATACATGTTACATACATTTAAAAATGTAGTTAAAATAAGATTTAAAATAAAAATAAATTTAATATATTTATATTTTAAAATAAATTTAATATATTTATATTTTAAATTAAATTTAATATATTTAATTACTTAATAATATTTATTTTGAATTATAAGCGTAAGTTTTCTTTATATTTCGTAATATGTTAAGGTTCGATTTTTTTGACTGTTACTTTTTTTCCCGGCTTCTTAATGATATAAGTTAAATATTAAATACCCCTTGCAGTTTTTTTTTTTCAATTCATTTCAATTTTCTTTCATCATATGGTCTCACGTGTCATCATATGGTCTCACATGTTATCATCTAATTGGAGGAATGAAATCTTTAAATTAAAAATTAATTAAATTAAGAAAAAACCCTCCAATAATGTTGTGACATGTGTCATGATAATGTCACCATCGACACATGTCTTCATGTAATCAGAGCATTAAACTTATCTATTTAATTTTAAATTATGACTAATTTTATAGAATGTATACGTAATGAGAATTAAATGTGTAATTATACCAATTTTATTAACAGTCACATCAACACTTCCATTAATTCCTAACGGCTAGTGGTCTGATTGAATGTATTTAAATAGTAAGACGGTCTGATTGACAAGAATTCAAAAATGATGCTCGGAATAAAAAATGGTTATAGTTGGATGGTCACTGGTATAATTTACCTTTTTTCTATAATTAATTAATCAATTAATCTAAACTGAGTATTATAAGATTTTACTACAAAAAATAATATTTTTAATTTAATTTATTCCCTTCAAATATCGTAATTTGAACAATTAATTTTGTTTGAAAAACCTAATATCTTATTCTATCCAATGTGTTTTGGCCACCGGCTTCAAACTTTCCCAAGTAGTAGTTTTTGGTGTGGTAAGTATCCCAAAAGTCCGCCAAGTATTTAAAATATCTTATTCCAAGTTTTATATTGCAAAATATCTTCTTTTCTGTCTCATCATTATCCTCATCGATGCCGACACTCCAAATGGACTTCCTAATTTTGTAACGGACAAGCATAACCTATATTTATTAAATATTTAAAATACATCTGTTTTATTCATCTTTAAGATTTTTTTATATATTTCAAGCAAATTATATCACAATATATAATCATTTAAAATATATAACCTATCAGCTAATATTTTTTTATTACATTTTCGTTAAGGTGAAAACAATCTCTATTATTGAAACTGATGCAGCAGGGGATTGATGTATGCTTGTTGGTTCAAGAACCCATTCTCGTTCGCTTGAAGCTTCGCTGAATCAGTGTATTGGTAAGGCATTTGTCCTATGGTGTTGGGGAAATATTCAAAGCTTGTATTGGAGTATGTATTTTCACCAAAAAGCTGGGAATCTGGACCCGTGTAATCCAATTCCAGCAGATGAGGAACTGAGTCAATTCGGGTGCTTGACTCGTCACCGTTTTGTTCCAAAACCTTTCCTCCTGATCCCGAGCTCTTCTTCTTGTAGATTCGGCAAAGGACCCAATCATCCAGCTGAAACAAACCCCTGGTTCTAGTCAGTTTACTTTCATCACAAGCAATACTAAAAAAATGACAGACTTACTCTCATGGATCCATTTTGCATGCTGATTTGATTTCTAGAATCGCTTAACCGATACTCATGCATGATCCAATCAGTCTTGACTCCCTTTGGTGGCCTGCCCCTGTAGAACACAAGAGCTTTCTTCACTCCCACACATCTGGAACCACCGTATATGGCTTTGTCGGTGCCGGTAGCCTTCCAATACCCCGACACGGCGGCCCTGTTGGGTCGAACCCCATTAGGATACTTCCTGTCTCGTGGGGTAAAGAAATACCATTCATTTTCACCGAACTCGGCTTTATCTTCAAAAAGCACAGGCAAAACACTACATATTCAGCATGGAGATCAAATAGATGATATTTGAGGGTGAGTAATAACAAACCATACTAACCGGGTAATTGCCATGGATCGAATTTGTAGATATCAACTTCTGGGATTATGGAAACGGGGCATGGCTTAGATTTGGCCTGGTTTCTAAGGTAAAACACGATGAGTTCTTCGTCCGTGGGGTGGAACCTGAAACCAGGTGGGAGTTCAGAGCTGGTTCTGATTTCCATTGTGTTACTTGTAGCACATGCAAAGAAGGAAAACTGGATTAAGAAAAGCTAAAAGAGGATGAGGAGGAAGAAGGGTGTTTGAAATGTTTGCAAGGAGAGGGCTACGCCTTTTATGGTTGAAGCTGTCGTGTGATTGGCCGCTGCTCATCCAAGGCATGAACCTCGTATCGTTATCAACTGCCACAACGGGTAAGAACGTGGACAACACGTGACACTCTCAACACCTACCACCCCAAAGAATACGGACTGACTTGTATTCCTCCCGTATATCAACCAATCACATACTAACACTTACTATTATATATCTATATTAGAAAATTTTAGAATCGATGTCTTGATAACGTAAAATTTATAAATGGACATTAAACTACATTGAAATGATCCTTTTAGGTATCAAACTTTCAAAACGTATACATTAGGCATTAAACTTTAAATTTTGTTACAAAATGAGCACAACACCGTTATCTATCATTAAAGATATGATGTGACATATTAAATTAATAAAATAATATCTCATTTGACATTTTAATTGTAACTACAATTTTATTTTACTGTTAATTTTAATTAAAATAATTTATTATATTTGTTGAATTGAAAATAAAATGGATATAAATAAAATAAATATTATTTTTAGTGTCATATTATTAATATTGAATTTATAATATATAAATTACTCGATAGATTATTAAAACTTTAAAAGTTAGGGATATTGTTTCAATTACTTTTATTTAAGTTTAGATGTATTTTTTTATTAATGTGATACGATAATTTTTTGGATGCATTTTTTTAAAAGTGTTTAAACTTTTTAAACAAAAGTCAAATGCTTCAATCATATCATTTAATAAAAATAATTATATCATTCGATAATTAATTTTTATCTTGAAAATTATATAATTTTGATTTTACAAATACAATATCAATTAATAAATAATTAGTTATAAAATAATTTGATGAATGAAAAAGTTTCTAAAAATTTAATTTTTAATTTAAAAAAAAATTATTTTCATATTTTTTTTAAATTCTAAATTTTCTAAATTTTTTGAAATTATTATTTAAAAATATTGAAAAAAATATCAAAATAAAAATTTAGTTATAATTGAGGGTTCAAAATAAGATATTTTCTATTAATTGAGCATGCCATGTCACCCCTTAACAATACTTTATAGTTTCTACCTACTTTTTAAATAAAATCTAAAATCTAATGTTTATTTTATAAATTTTAAAAATCCAATGAAAAATGAAATTATTTTAATAAAATTAATGATTATTTATGATTTTTTATCATAATTTTATATTAGTTGTGCATATTGGTGCACATCATTAATGGCGTACATCAATGTGTGTCATTCACTCTAGACTCATCCATTTATATTATAATATTTTGGCATCAACCAAGTAAGATATGATTGTTTTTCTTGAAAATTTTGTTTCTTAGTAATTGAGGTGTTTGAATATTTATTATCGAATGATCTTTAAAATACTATATTATAATTATTTTAGACTAACAAAAAAATAATGGCTAAACTATAGGATCGATTACCATAATTTAAGTTTTGTACATTTTTTCTCGTTGAATTCAAAAATATAATATTTAGTCACTTTTGTTTTTATTTAATTAAGGTGTGGTCACTGAGGATTAATAATCGTTATATCTTTAATTGAATGCTGACGTGACACAATTAGCTTATAAAATTTAAAAGGGTAAATTACACAAATGGTCACTAATGTTTGGGTAAGTTTTCATTTTGCCTCAATAAAGTTTCAAAAATAAAAAATTGGTTACTAAAACATCAAATAGGTCATTGAACAATGATTTTATATCTAATTTATTCTAAAAAATATTCTAATTTTCCAATTATCATTTGAAATATTCGATTGCTTCATGACTAGTTTTATTTTTTTAATTTAATATATATATATATATATAAAATTTGGGGAAATTGGAAAAATTAGAAAACTTTTGAGGTAAATTAGATATAAAATCGTTGTTTAAGTACCTATTTGATGTTTTAGTGACTAATTTGTTACTTTTGAAACTTTAGTAGGAAAAATAAAAGCTTACTGAAACATTAATGACCATTTGTGTAGTTTATCTTTTTTAATTTTATGAATTTATTGTCACGCTTATGGATGGGCATGGGATCCGAACCTGACGGGTTTTGACCCGATCAGATTCGATCGGGTTTTGACCCGATCAGATTCGATCGGGTCGATTTAAAAAAATTAGGTTCGGGTCGTGTTTTCTTAAAGGTGAAGTTCGGGTCGGGTTCTGGTTTAGAATGAAAAATACCTGACCCGACCCTACCAAAAAAAAATATATAATTTTACCTTATATATTTAGGGATAATTATAATAATACCCCTATATATTATTTTTCAATTAAATCCCTATTTTTAGTGAATAAAAAATAATATTTTTTATTATTTCGGGTAGGGTTTTCAAATTTATCTCAAAAAGTCATGGTTGAATTTGAGTCGGACGGAGGGTGTAGATTTTTCGAGTTGGGTGGAGGGGGTAAAATTTTCAACTCGACATGTGCCTATCCCTAGTCATGCTAGTAATCCGTTAACGGTCTAACGACAATTAATATTCTGTAATTATATTTTAATTAAATAAAAATAAAATTCACTAAATACTATATTTTTTAAATTTAATAAAGAAAATTATGTTTTTGGAGAAAATGATCAATTATGTAATTTCCCTACAAATTATGGAATCGAACCTTAAATTCTGGTTTGGTAGTGGAGCGAGTGGAGTTCATCGAGAGAACTCGCGATGGAGTGTGGGGACGAGTAGGATAAGTATGGCATAAATTTGTTTTTTTTTTCTTTTTAAGAAGAAAGGAAGGCCAAGGAAACAAATTAAATAAAAGAAGATTAGTATTAGAATGTGGTTCTTATCTTAGCCACGTCATTACATGGACCCTACTATTGTGCTCATCCTTTAGGGGGTTAATTATTTACATAAATATCTCTCTCCCCTTTTTCATACATAAATACTATTGTCTCTAATCTTATATGGATAAAAATGGAAGGATAGAATCACCACCTGTCAAGTTGACCTTCACTAATGGATTTCAGAATTTTGTTTTTACTTTATAATTGTATTAATTTTATCCTTAAACACACTTCATTACTTTAATTTTATTTTCTAATCAATATCGACTATTTCAACATGATAATTTATCGTACTTACATGGTGATTTATAATATTATGTGATAATTCACATATGAATGATGATATAATAAAAAATTAAATTTATGTAAAATATAGAGAGATTGAATTCTATTAAAAAATAGAGAGGTTGAATTAATTTTTAACCGATTTCGAGGATACAATTATTTTTTTCTTCCGTTATATGTTATATGTTTTTATTTTTATTGTGGTCGTGTATTAAATGAAAAAGATAGTGATTTTGTACAATGCCACTTCGATAATTAATGTGACAGCGTGTGCCTGAATCGAATTGCTCTGATCGAATATTGGGTGTTACAACGCCAATCTTCTTCTTTAACACATCCTATATAAGTTCATTAAAAAATGAAGATACAATTGGAATAGTGCATTTTAATCCTCGCACTGTTTTTCTTTAGACGTAAATGTCAAAGGTAACATATTTGACTCTAACGAGACATCTAAATCTATATCGGCATAATCTTTACTTACCACAATACAAGTCTAATGTTACAATCCAATAACGGTGTTGTAACTTCTTTTTTGACGAAAAAAATAAATTTTCGATGAAAACCTCGAATTTACAACTCATTTAGAAAATTTTAAATTTTTATATTTATTTTGATTAAATTGATTTGAAGTCGCCATCAACCTTTTGGTTAGGTAGGTCGAATACCTAAAAAAATATCTTTTAAACAACTCAGAAAAAATCATTTAAAAAATAAAAGTTAGTATGCGTTTACCAAAAATTTATTTTTTAATGATCCGGAAGTTGATTACGCGTAGGGAATGAAAAACACCTCCACAACGCCCAAAATTGGTACTTAGGCGCTTATATATTATGTACATGGTGAAAATTATAAATTCGAATATTAAAAATTAAATTATGATCCATTTATTGAATATTGATTAATTTTTTTGAATCAGTTATTAGAGAAAATTCTTTAATTTTGGATAAGAAATCTAGAGATTTACAATTCCTCCAACAGGAAAACGATCCCATCTATTTCTCATCTATACAAGAATATTCCCTTCTCATTATTATCAAAATATTATCATTCGAATATAAATTGACTGTCGGTAACTGCATAAAATAATATAGTAATAAAAGAAGACATCAATTAAAGTTAAATTAAGAAAATATATCAAATTTTAGTAACTAAACTTTAAGGGACCAAAATAAAATAAACAGAGAATAAAACAAAATAATTAAAGGAATAAAAATCAAAGTACTGAAAAATAAAGAGACAAAAATAAAAGATTAGAACATTAAAGCAAATAAAATGTAATGATTGAAATTAAATAAAGAAAATAAAATGCATAAATTTAAAAGTGCATAAAATTAAGTAACGAAAATAAAATGCGTAAAAATAAAATGTTAGTGTCAAATTTTATTATTTATCCTGGACTGTAAATAATGCGAGTCATACCTCAGGGCGGGTCGTCGCAAGGTCCTACATGGTTCGAACATAAAATAGAACAAACAAATAAATAAAAGGTTAGCGGTTAGTAATTAGCGGTTAGAAAGGTTAACTATTAGAAAAGTTAGCGGTTAGAAAGGTTAGCTATTAGAAAAGTTAGCTGTTAGTGGTTAGCAGTTAGAAATGTTAGCTGTTAGAAAAATTAGCGGTTAGTGGTTAGAAGAGTCCGGCCCATAATAATGTGGATCATATCCCAAACTGGGTCACCACAAGGTTAAATCGAATATCAACGATAAATAAATGTCAGTGGTTAATATGCAGCAAAATAAAAGTTAGTAGTTAACTTGAAATAAATAACATAGCAAAATAGTTACCAAATTAAAAGTTAGTAAAACCATCATGTATATTTGAAATAAAAAAAAATAAGTGACCAGAGTGCAAAAAGGGCTAAAATATAGAGGACTAAAGGTGATTTTCCCCCGATAGTAACCAAAGT